TAACTGTTGAGATTGTACAGCTGAGTGATTTAGTTAACTGGGGTGATGGGTTAATGCTCCTCATTATCTTCGTATTGAAGATGTTGAGCAAAGTCCTCTGGGCCCGTAACTGTGTGTGTTCGTGGTGGTGGCTTTCCTCGAGCAACATGACAAATAATTCTCCTTAAAAGCAGTATTGCAAAATGACCCACATTAGCTATTCAGGACATTAACACTTAGGGACCTAAGCTTAGGAGCACAATAAATCCATTCTCATAACAATGTTTAAAATGCATATATTGGTTGGAAAGCATTGTACTTTTAGATCTAAAATAGGCTCCACTGGGAAACTAGAGAAAAAGATACCTAGAATATTTGCTGTGGTTAAAATCCTATGTATTAGTAATGAAGAATATTGAAATCATTTGCGTGCTTCAGTCAGCTCTGTTAAAAATAAACAGTAATGGCCAATTACTGCAGATAAATCCTTTATTGGCTGAAAGACACTTCCCCAGATCACTTTGTGCTATGTAATTTTTTTAATGGTAAGCGAGATTTGACTTTAGCGATAACTACTTAAATTTCATGACAAACATATTTTTCCTGGTGTACCCAGGTTCTATAACAGATATTTGGGCTGGGCCTGCCAATGCCCAATGGGTGACTCTCTCATTAGATTTTCCTTAGATAAATGTCACTTGTACTGAAACAGGCCCCAATCAGATGGGTTGACCAAAAAGCCCTTTGACCAAAAGACGGCTTCTCAGAGGTCTGGAAAAATCGGTGCTGGGATGCAGCATACCATCAGGCCCTGTGGAAGGGGGTAGTGGGAGAGCAACAAATCTAACTCCTTCTGTGAGTCCCTCGGGCTTCAGACACTCAGTTAAAGGTATTTAGCACCTGCTGTAGCACAGCACTGTCAGGGGACAGCCATGCAGAGTTCAGGTCTCTTACTCAGCAGCTTGCAAGAGCTGTGTGTTTGGGATCTGGCAGCAGCACCCCTCCTTGCTGACAATGAAAACACTTGCAGTGGGGGCTCCAGCCAACACAGATGCTGAACCAGAACTGCCACGAGGGGGGTTCGAGTCTGTATAAGTGTATATCCTCCATTCCTTTGTGGTGAAATATACATGACAAACCATTGGGACATTGTGAATTTTGATCCCCTCCCAGTTTGCTGGTTGTGACAGTGAAGGGACCAATTCTAAAGCTTCCTGCTTTGCCATTTGCATGAGGTCACTTCTTTGGAATTCCGATTTTTAACTTGAGCCTGGAATATTCTTATTAGGTGGAGCTGGGAGTCACAGGCTAAGAGGAAAGGATAATTAAAAATCAGCTATAATCTCAGATAAGCATCTACCTGGTGAATAAAGGTGTCCACACAGTCAACAGCCATTTATTGAGCAGTAATGGAGTTGTTCTGTGCTATCTGGATATTAAATTAAATATGGTTTCTGCCCTGCTGGGTTGTCCATTTTCTGGGGGAGAAGTCACTTTCTTAATTTTATTATAAAATGAGAATTTAACTAGACTGTTTAAAAACACAAGAGTCTAAATATACATGATTGGAATAAACACAATGCAGGTAAACCTGATTCTAGAATAGGCAGCACATCTCATTCTGGGAGAAAAACGCAGGCGGATGTCACCCGGGCGTGCAGGCAGGCCATGCTGCAGGTGGGAGGGCACCGGGTAGCAGGGCGTGACACATCGCAAAGCTCAGCTGCGCTCACCCTCACACAGACAGACGCGGTGGCTGGCGGAACCCGCCTTTCCCAGCACTGCAGTCAAAGTGCCTCAAGAAAGCAGGACAATGTGCTGACGCTCAAGGAGCACGGCAGTGGTGCAGGCGAGGACCATCTCTGCTTCACTCCTTGGCTGTGATTTAGCAGAGTCCAGGAATGCAAAACCAACATCACAGCTCAATCCCCTCCTCCTGCAGGGCAGGAGGGCCACAGCACCATACTGTCCTCCCAGTGAGGCAATCCCGGCAGGGAGAGCGTCCCTCAAGGGCCCTAGGAGAAAGGTTTAAATAGAGGACGCTGAATAGCGCATCAAGGCCAGCGTCTGCAGTCAGCATGGATTCCTTCTGCTTTGTCCCACCTGCGTGCAGCAGTCAGCCCAATCTGTTCCAAGGGCTGGGAACACGCTTTTGTCTATCCAAGGGAGTGGGCTCATCTTTGAAAGCAAGAGATGCTAGTGAATAGCGAGGAGATGAGACACAGACCGCCGGGCAGCCTGTGGGGGCACTGTCAGTCGTGGGGCCCAGGCATGCGTGTTGGGGCCGCGGCTGGGAAACCATCCGTAGGGTGCTTCTTCCTCTCTTTCTGTAAGGCCAGGCAGACTGGGGACTTGGAAAGGAAACTAAAGCAAGAGACGCCCCCACAGTTGTCAGGAAACAGGCTTGTGCGATGCCACCAATTAGGTAATTTGGTGCCAGAATCAGCTGTTTGGCTTTCCAGGAACAGGTACTGTTCGTAATGCGGTGCTGTCTGCCTCCATGACCGAAGCAGCACGGAGAGAGTCCCACCAGCGATCCAGGCCTCTCTTCCTGCACAGTTAGGACCTGACCTCCGGGCTGCGCTGCAAGGCTCCGCACTCACGCGGCTCACGCCGCTTCCTTCTCCGTGCTCCTCGGCGGCCGGCCCTGCTCACTCCCAGGTGCTCTTCGGAGGCAGCGCCCAGGGAGCTGAGCTGACCTGCATGGCTGGCGTCCAGGCTTCAGGCGCGCCCACGTGCGCAGACATGACCATCATCCTGCTGTGAGCGCCTGTGGGCTGCTCAGTCTGAGGCCGAGGGAAGGCGAGGGCAGCAGGAAACCCTAGCACCGACGGAACTCCTTCACAGCAGCCGCTCCTGACACAGGCAAGTGTTATAGTTAATTGCAGTGGCACCTAGAATAAGAAAGACCTCGCAGCTTAGCTAACCACAGCCCTGGATGTGTCTGGATGATCAACTTACTGAAGACGGAGGATCTACCCAGGGCGTGGGAGTGTGAGGCCAACAATGACGAGTTCAGAAAAGGACACAGCCGGCTTGAATTTGGGGGTTCCACCTTGAATCTGAGTGACTCCAAGTCTAGTTTTTTGAGCTGGGTCTTTATGGCTAGGGTAGGGAGACCAGTGGGATGGGCTTAGGGGAACTGAAGTGAAGGGTGCGTCAGGTTGGGGGAGCAGGAATGGCTGAGCACATGGCTGTAGCGATGTGCCCTGTGACCTGGAGGGTGGGCAAGTGTGTCCGGTCCTGCATGTTCCTGCGCTCCGGCGGCTGGGACTCAGCCCTTCCAGGAACTGGCACAGCTGGGGAGAGGTAGGTGGGGGTCAGAGCTGTCAGGCAGCACCAACCTGATTGGTAGCCTGGATGGAATAAAAGGGAAAGAAGCGCCACTTTTGCTTCTCTGGAGGAGCTCCAAGTCTGACACTGCCTTTGGACCTCTCATCTTGGGGCTTCCAGCGCAGACTCCTTCCTTCCAGTACAGCCCTTGTGCCCCCCCCACTCTGCGGGTGGCCACTGGACCTTATCTTGTAAGTCATAGATACAGGAGGCTAAATCTGTTCCTCTAGTGAGCCCCAACTCATGCAGCAGGAGCTCCCCTTCAGCCCACAGATCAGGTCCTTTCAAGTGGTCAGCATGCAGCAGAGGTGCAGAGGAAACACGAATCTCTCTCCACTCTGCCCACATGGCAGCATGTGATCACTGACGCTGTGTCATAAAAGACAGCTCAGCTTCCACCTTGCCTCCTGGATCACCTGCCGGGGGAAAACAGAGGCCACACTAGGACTTCCGGGGTGTACTGCAGATGCTTGTGTGGAGGCAACCGAGGGCTCCTGGCAGCGGCTCCTCCAGCTTCAGCCCAGACTCCAGGTGACTGCAGAAAGGGCTGACCTCATGCAATGAGTCTCATGGGAAACCAAGTAAAGCTGCCCCCACATTCTGGTACTATAGAGACCTGGGATATACTTGTGGCTTAGGGCATGGGGACGTTTTGGGGTGATTTGTTATGGTACAACAGATACCTGATCAGAAGGGGGAATTTGTGGAAACTGTTTCAAGGAGAGAGCAGATGAGTGTGTCACACGCAGGCTCATAATAAAGCCCACAGTGATGAGAAACTTCATTTAGGTAACTGATGGGGCAAAAAGTCCCAAAGCCAACAATGAACACCTTGCTATGTGCAGTATTTCTAGTAAAACAGAAAAAAAAAAAAAAAAAAAAAAAAAAAAAAAAAAAAAGGAGTAGCTACCATTCAGGATGCCACTGAAAGCATGTTCTGAAAGTCTGTGGGACTCACCAGACATTCTCTTTGTACCAATGTCCTCACATGGACATTGTAGTAGTGCATACACTGTGTCAACCTGGCTGGATGAGCTGGGCTGTTCCACACTCTGGGCTCTGGGCACCCTGCCCCGTGGAGTGGGGAAGCCCGCCCCAGAGTGACTCGGCGCACAAAGAGTATATAAAGGGCTGAGGAAGGATTCAGCATCCACTTCACTGGAGGAACTTCAGTCTTCACAGTCAGCTTGGACTTCATGTTCTGGCTTCCAGCGCAGACTCTTTGGCCTCCAACTTGGATCCTTCAGCTTTCCGTCACACTCTTCAGCTTCCTTTGCAGATTGTTCAGCCTTCGACTGCAGACCCAGAGGCCAACTGATAGAGACTTATACAACATCACTGCTGTGAGCTCCAGCCCTTGGACTGAATCCTTTAGTCTCAGGTGTGCAGACGCCCTCTGCACTCTTCCTCATCTGACTCTGCGACTGACCGTTGCAAGCTAATCTTACAATTTTTATACATTATACATCTTATGTTATATCTCTTCCTTGTATTTTATGTTTCTCTAGTAAAACCCTGACTAATACAGACATGTAATGTCACTTTTAACCTGAGGTTGTAGAGCGCTGAGAAACCCGCCCTGGAGCACTCTGAGCACTGAGATATGGGTGCACACAGAAGTCACCCCAAACTAGAGTAAGAGCTTTATGATCTAAAAGACTACAGAAAATTTTCTTGAAAACAATAACCACAGCTTCATATTTATTAACATTGAAATTTATACATTAAGAGCATCTTAACCACATCTTGTTTTACGCTCACAGGAAACCCTGTGAGACTGGTGAGTTCATGGAAGGGGGAAATCCAGCCAGTTCTGTCTACCAAGGGAGGAAAAAAGTCTGAAAGAGGCCCCAGGTACTTGGTTAAGGCTGCGCAGATAATCACAGTGGCGGGCCTCGACGGAGAGTTCAGGCTCCTCCCAGGACATCTGGGCAGCATTCATCCGGGGCTGCTCATCTGTCGGCATGCTCACGTTCTCCAGAACACCTCTAGCACAGCTGTCCACAGCAACCCATCACATCACATGCCAGGCTTGCCCTTCATGGCCTAAGAAAAAAAACATGGTATCTTTCCATTCTGGTTCTTAAAAGGCACGTAACTTGAAATTGTCCCTGTCAATCCTCAGAGTGAGCAGGCGTGCTGTTCTTGGTTCTCTCTGGAAGCTGCCTTCTCTAGAGTAAGAAGCCAAAATTCTCCCTGGCAAGAAAAGAACTGTATTAGATCTATGCTATGCTCTTTAACTAAAACGGCACCATTCATTTGACTGCCTTCCTTGGGATGTCCAGATGTTTCTTAAGCATCACTCTAGGCCAGGATGTTATGAATGTGGAGCACATATTATGGAGCCCCTGGGGGCACAACCGGATATTCCAGAAAGTTCAGGAGCAACAGCCCCTCTCAGGAGAATACTATGAGGAGGAAACCCTCATAAGGAATGCATAACTATGAATAAAAATAATGGCTAACGTGTGCTAATTAACACTGTGTGCTCTGCCTGATGTAATCTTCACAATAACCCCATGAAGCAGAGAAAGGTCTAGTGGTTTAAGTATCTGTATCTCATGTGGTCACACGGATTTCTTTATCATGAGAAGGAAGTCTATCCTGACAACTTAGGCTGTGCACAACTGTTTCCCTGCAGCAGCCGCCACCCCGAGGGCTGGTCCATTAGGAACCTGGCCAATTGTCTTCCACAGTTTCAAGCGTGTTAGCCTCTCACTGCTCCCATGATAGGTCTAGGTTCATCCAGTTCTGTACATGCAGAGTGTATGAAAAAGAACTAACTGTAGTTTTGGATTCTGAGATATTCAAGCGATTTCCTATTTAGCCAAGCCTTTGCCTACAACTCCAGATGGCTTCTGTGTATCTAGTTAAGACAGGACAGGAGAAACCCAACTTGCAAACTCGTCTATCTGTCTGTCTCCATGTTCCCAACAGGATCAGCTAGAAAGCAAAAAGTGAAGAAAAATTTAATCAAAGAACCTATTCTTATGTAGTAATTTGGAAAGCTGAAGTGTAGCACCAGATAACACCAAAGATATTTTAAAACCTGTGTTCTTGAAAGTCATTCCAGCAAGTATGATCAGGAACTTATTTCTAGCTCTTTCTTCACACTGACAGAAGCACAGTGGGTGGCAGACAGGTGAAAAGTGACAGAACCAAGAGTAAGATCAACAGCCCTCCCCAAAGAAGGAACCCTGAGTCTCCATTTCCAGGACTTCGGCCATGGCCGTGGGCTTTAAACCAGTCCACTACTTCCTGCAGGTCAAATGGCTGAGCCTCATAACCAAGCTCCTTCTTAGCTTTCTCTAGGCTGAAGTAATGTGTGACACCAGTTTTATAAACCTCGGTGCGAGTGAGGAAGGGCTGGAAGTTGTAGAGCCGGCCCAGCATGAAGTGGGACATCTCGGTCAGGAAAGCGAAGCAGTAGATCAGGGCGAGCGGCAGGCGGGTGGATGGGAATGTGTAGCCCAGGCCCTCAACCAAAGGTCGGAAGAACTCAAAGTTGTTCACGGGTTTGCCATCTGAGATGAAGTAGGGCTGCCCGGAGGCAACATGGCCCTTGGCGGCCTTTAGGGCCTCTGAGGCCAGCATGTGTGCCTGCACCAAGTTATCCACATGGACAAACTCCACCAGGCTGCTGGGGTCGCCGTACACAAATCTGAACAGGCCCCTCTCGATGTAGCTCACTATCCTGGGCAGGTGCCTTTGTTCTCCAGGCCCATAGATGCCAGCTGGCCTCAGGGCGCAGGTTCTTAAGACACCATCTCCCGTCTCTAGGGAAGAACCATTTGCCTCCAACACCTTCTTCTCTGCAATAGATTTGGTCCGGGAATAGTGATCGGGGTGCAGGTGAAGCGGCAGGTAAGGCAGGGACTCATCTCCATTTCTGATGACTTGGCCTCCAAAGACAACATTGAATGTGCTTGTGTACACCAGTCTGGGGACTCCTCGTCGCCGGCAGGCCTGCAGGACGTTGTCAGTTCCACCCACGTTGACTTCCTCAATCAGGTTCCAGTTCAGCTGCTCCCGCCCCGACATGCCGTAAGAGGCAGTGTGGAAGACACAGGCAATGTCCGCGTCCTGGAAGGCTTTCTCCACGTCAGCCAGGTGGCGGATGTCTCCACGCACCCATCTGATTCCTTGTGGGATGGTCTGGCCAGGGCTGCTGACATCAAACAGAATCACACGCACTCCTTTCCGGCTCAGAGCACAGCCCAAGCTGAAACGAGGACCACTCAAAGTCAGAGTAAGTCACCCCTACGCTGTGCCTAGACAGTGTATAAAATAAGTCACCAACCAAGATGAGGCTGAGCCACGCTTTCCTGCCTCATCCTGAGTCTCTCACTTTATAAGTTCACAAATCGTACGCCAAGTTTTTAAAATGAGCCTCATATCATAGGGATATATGTGTGCCTATGTTTATAGCAGCACAATTTGTGATAGCCAAACCTTGGAAACAACCAAGATGCCCATCACCTGAGGAATG